AGCCAAAAAATACATAAACAGTCAATGCTGTTAAGTTTAGGTAAATAGGCACTTACTAACCTTAATTCAGTAGTTACGGGCAAGAGCCTAGAGCCATTTACAGTGATGCTATGTAGACAATCATATCCTGTCTTTTCTCAGATGCTCTATTTAGTAATAGATAACCGTACAAGAACATGTGTCTTCCTAATATATAACAAATTTGGAATCATTATAGTAAGGTACACACAGTGGTGAAAATTTAAGAATACTATGAGAAATGAGTGCTTTATGAGAAAGAGTTTATAAAATTCTCTGCGGGACACAGTTCTTACTGCATAAAAACTAATGCCTGCAGGAAGTCTGGAAAGAAATGTGCTTAAAATGTAACCAGGGTTGAGTAGTAGTCAGGAAAATCTAGAATAGTGATTTTTAATATGATACAAGTACTACAATAAGGATATAAGAGGTTAAATACTGGTGTGGAGTTTGAATGAGATGGCCCCCACAGGCTCATCTATTTGACTGTTTGGTACCAATTCATACAGTTTTTAGATGAAAATGTTCCTAGAAAGAGTCATCTTAGGCAAAGTCACTCTAAATGCTTATCGTTCTATAACATACATTTGACCTTTAACAACCACATTTAGATACTTTCCTCTAAATCAGAAGACATCTGACTATGGCAAAGGCTGACTGTGATGGTTAGTGTTGCCTGCCAAATGACAGGGTCTAGAACCTCCTAGGGAACCAGCTCCTCTGTGAGTCTAAAGGGGATTATGGGAATTAGGTTAGGCTCTGGGATGACTGGGAGGGATCATCTAAATTAGATAAACTGAGGCGGGCAGGCCCAGTCTAACTGTGGCAGCATCAGTACCAAGCTGTGATCCGGACTGAATACAAACGAGAGCAAGTGGAGCGCACCACATCCGTCCCTCTCTGCTTCCAGATGTGGGCGTCTCACGCCCTGACTGCCATGTCTTTCCTAATCAAGATGAATTGCTCCCTGAATTGGGAGCCAAAAAAATCCTTCCTTAAGCTATTTCTGTCAGGTATTTTATCACAGCCACGAGACAAGTAACTAAATATATCAACAAAGCTGTTCTTTAGTATATAAGGTTAGAGAAACTCATGAAAAATAACCATTCCAGGAGGCTTAAAGGAGAGGCGAGTAGGCTAAAGGATGTCTGTCACGAGAACAAGTTGAATGTAGGCTAAGAGCACTGAGGATCTGTGTTATGCTTCCTAGAGCTGTTCTCTTTTCTGCCATACCTGTTTCATCAAGGGAAAACCTAAGAGTCTTCCAGGTCAGAGCTGGCTTTCAAACTGAAACAATTTCGCTGCTTGAGGTATCGGAATTGGTTTGGGGTATGGTGTGAAAAAATTTAGGGAGTATTCTCAGTAAACAAAGTAAACTTGCTTGGAAAAAACAGGGACAGGCAGCAGGCATGCCAGGCTCAGGTTGCTAGGCTAGTCTTGGTCAGGCTGAGCTTCAGACTAGAAGATAAACCAGAAATTTAACAGCAAGATGCTGAAAATGAAATAGACATAAAGGAACTAGATAAGCCCTGAACAAGACAATGGCCAAAGAGGGACTGGCAAAAAGCAAAGGGTGAGGCTGGCTGACATACTGTTTACATTTCAAATGCCCTCCTCAATCATTTCATACATGGATAAGGAGAAGATGGCAATTATCCTGGCCCAACTTCTAATCTATCAGTGTTTAATCATTCAGCTAGGCAGATGCAAATACAAACTGGCTTAAAACAAGCTAAGAAAGAGGCAACACAGACATTAGCATAAACCATAGAACACAAAGATCAATTATATCGAGGAGAAAGGAAAAAGAGACAGGAAAGGAAGAAAGACCCTATTCCTTGACAGTCGTAGATAAAACACGAAATGACAAGATTTATACTACATTATGAACAATATCCAACTGTCAACAGAACATTATAACATATACAAAGAAAAATAAAAGTTGGTCCACACTCAACCAAAGAACAGTAAATAGAAGGTAACAATGAGTGGGTGCAAATGCCAGATTTTGCAGAAAAAAAATTTCAAAGTAATGATTGTGAAAGGGACAAATGGGCATGCAGTATACATTTGTAGTCTCAGCTACTTGAGAGGATGAGGCAAGGAATTCAAAGCCAATGAAGCAACATAATGAGATCCTATCCTAAGAACAAAATTTCAAAAAGCATTTGAGAATTAAAGGAAATCATGTCTAAAGAATCAACGAAAATTACGACAGCAAATATCTATATTAAAGGGATATCATAAACTACAGCAAAAGAAAATGTAGAGTTAATGGTTTTATTCTTTTTATTAATTACAGTTTATTCACTTTGTACCCCAGCTGTAGCCCCCTCCCCATTTCCTCCCAATCCTACCCTCCCTCCCTCTTCTTCTCCTATGCCCCTCCCCCAGTCCAATGATAGGGTAAGTCCTCTTCCCCTTCTATCCGACCCGATTCTATCAGGTCTCATCAGGACTGGCTTATTTGTCTTCCTCTGTGGACTGGTAAGGCTGCTCCCCCCTCAGGGGGAGGTGATCAAAGAGCCAGCCCATGAGTTCATGTCAGAGACAGTTCCTGTTCCTATTACTGGGGCACCCACTTGGATAATGAGCTGCTATGGGCTACTTCTGTGCAGGGGTTCTAAGTTAACTCCATGCATGGTCCTTGTTTGGAGTATCAGTCTCAGAAAAGGCCCCTGTGCCTAGATTTTTTGGTTCTATTTCTCTCCTTGTGGAGCTCCTGTTTCCTCTAGGTCTTTTTATCTCCCTCTTCTTTAATACGCTTCCCTGCACTCTGCAAAAAGTTTGGCTATGAGTCTCGGCATCTGCCTTGATACCCTGCTAGGTAGAGTCTTTTAGAGGCCATCTGTAGTAGGCTCCTGTCCTGTTCCCCGTTTTCTCCCTCTTCTTATATCCATCATCTTTGTCTTACTGAGAATTGAGCATCTTACCCAGAGTCCTCATTCTTCCTTAGCTTCTTTAGGTAAACAGATTTTAGTATGTTTATCCTATATTATATGTCTAATATCCACGTATAATTGAGTATTTACCATGTGTGTCTTTCTGCTTCTGGGATACCTCACTCAGTTAAATAGCAACAAATAACATAATCCAATTAAAAAATGGGGTACAGAGCTAAACAGAGAATTCTCAATAGAGGAACATCGAATGGCAGAGAAACACTTAAAGAAATGCTCAATGTCCTTAGTCATCAGGAAAATGCAAATCAAAACAAAGCTGAGATTTCACCTTACACCCATGAGAAGGACTAAGATCAAAAACTCAAGTGACAACACATGCTGGAGAGGATGTGGAGAAAGGGGAACCCTCCTCCACTGCTGGTAGGAATGTTAACTTGTACAACCACTTTGGAAATCAATCTACCTCAAGATCCAGCTATACCACTCCTAGGCATATATCCAAAAGATGCCCAAGTATACTACAAGGACATTTGCTCAACCATGTTAATAGCAGCTTTATTTGTAGTTGCCAGAAGCTGGAAACAACCCAGATGTCCCTCAATGGAGGAATGGATACAGAAATTATGGTATTTTTACACAATGGAATACTACTCAGCAATTAAAAACAAGGAAATCATGAATTTGCAGGCAAATGGTGGGATCTAGAAAGGAGTTAATGCTTTTCTCAGCTACCTGGAGTGCTGATTCCTATCACTACTGTTATTTGACAGTATTGGGAACTGAACTATAACAGGGTCCCAGACCTTAGAGGGTCTCAAGACCTTAGTCCAACTGACTCCATGATGGAAGTAACATCCACGACATAAGACTTAGCATGAAGACAGCACCACTTGCCAAATCTAAAACATACATCTAATCCATCAAAGTCCATAGTTATGGAAAAGTCTCTAAATGCATTACCCTTGTTTTTTATTTCTGTAGTTCTGCTTCTGGCTAACTGTTCTTGTTAACCGAAGTATGTCAACCCAGAATATGGTTTTTGTGCTTAAACACTTACCTTGAGAAATGCTTGGTGCTACACTGGGATCCCGAGCACACAGTGTAGTTGCTGGCTGGCTAATACAGACTTTCTATTAACTTAAACTCTTGTCTGAGCAGTCTTCTCTGGTATTGATCCACAATAGAACCTAGGGCCTCTCAGACGCTAGTCAAGTGCTCTATCACTAAGTCACCAACTTAAACATAGTTAAGATATTTCATGACACCTGAGGCACAAGATGCTTAATAACTCATAAGCTTTGCAATAATATTAAGGTAAAGATGACTTTTTCTTTCCTAGGGAACTTGACTAGTGCTAATTTTATTTAGGTGAAATAACTCATAACTACATAATACTTTTAATATAGTATAATGTCAGAGTAACCAAAGATAATGCTATGCTGGCATCAGTTCTGAAGTTACTTAAGAGTTTAACTTTGCTGTTTTTAGGATTTATCAAAAATGTTTTTATAACTTACAAACAATATTATATGACGCCAAAATTTATTCTGATACTATGATGTGTACATAATTTTAATACTAATGATTAACTGGATTATAATACTAATAAACTTGCAAGGTTTATATCTATATACATAAAATATATATATATATTAGCAGCATGCACATTTTCAATTCAACAATAACATGATGATGATTGGTTAGTATTAATATTTTTCTTATTTATAATTTCTTAGTGGCTAACTACCTTAAGCAGTTTAATTGGCTTTCATTGTTTTGATTCTGTATATTTTTGAAATAATTATAACATTTAATAAACCATCCTTTTAAAAATTTTTATTAAGGATAGCATATGCTGAGGAATCACTTAAGTTTTCATATATTTCTTAGAGTTATATGATAGTTTTATACTTAACAATATTATAACTTTGTATTCCTGAAACTTACATATACAAAAAGAGAAAGTAAATTAAGTATTAGCCGTTACCCTATTTCACGCTGTGTAAGCCATTCTACTATACTACTCACATTAACACAGCTCCTGGGGAAAAGTTGACCGAAATGATAAAGTGTACTTACTCAGTTAAAAATTCAGGGCTTGTAAAGCTGAGGTTTGTTAAACGACCTTCAAGTTTAGAAGACTCATGCACAGTTAAGGCTGGAGTGGTCTTAGTGGCGAGTACAGCTCGTTTTTCATCTTTTTCAAGTGCTTTTCTCTTGCCACCATTTTGGAAATACTCTCTGCATACACTAAAAATAAAAATATTTTAAAACATTAGATGTAATGAAGTAAAATGAATTAAACAACAACAAAAAAGAAATAACCCTTCATTATTCAAAGTGTGAAACTTTTCAAATTAAAAGGCCACATTTTAAAAGCTATTACAGTGATAGCTAATTTTGGTTGTTAACCTCACCAAATCTGGAATTAACAAAAAGCCAAGTGGCTGGGTACACGTGTGGGGGATTTTTCATGACTGATCATCTGAGGTGGGAAGAGCCACCTTAAACCTGGGAGCAGCCTACAAAAAGAACATGGAAGAAGAAAGCACTTGCTCTTTGCTTACTTGCCTTTGCTCTCACTGGCGCATCCCTTCACTGGTACTATTGCGTGCTTCTTTGGGATTCTGACATACACTGAAGACTATCTGAGACATCCAGCCTCATGGACCCAACAACAACTGGATTCTTGGACTTTTCCTGGTAGACTCTTATTGTGGGACTAGCTGGAACACAGCCTGTAAGCCACTCTAATAGATCCCAATTCATTTGTTTGTTTGTTTATTGGAAGATGATAGAGAGACTGATTGATTCAGTCTATCAGTTCTGCTTTTCTAGAGAACCCTAATTAATATAATCATATTATAATAAAAAATTATTATAAATGTTAAATAGGTTTGTTCATGAGCCATCCTTGCTGGATAAGTTGTTTTTCCCTTTGTCATTCCTTCCCCCATCCATCTGCCACCTGTTTACCCACAATGCCTAGCTCCAGACCTACATTCTATGACCCCTGGCTCCTTTTGTTCAAGGGCTACCTCTGCTGGCTAGTTTCTTCCTTATCTCATTATTCACTCTACCTGCTGTCATTTCCATACTTACAGCCCTAGCTCTAGATCTACGCACTCTGGATCTGCTTTGGTCATGAGCCGTCTCTGACTGATAAGATGTTCTCCAGCCCTCTTTCTACCCACTGCCATCTCTATATCCTCTGCTGTAGCTCCAAACCTATAATTTAGGGGTAATCTTTGCCTGGTCCATTTAAACAGCTCGTCGACAGCTCTACCTTGCCTAATTCTAGTCACACCACTCCAGCAGTAGTACAACCTAAGGTAAGGCCAATTCTCATATCAGACACAAGAAACCAAGAAAAAGTTCATATGCTCAGGTCAAATCGTGAAACAAACAAAAAACAAACAAGCAACAAACAAAAATGGTCAAGGTAGTATGATTCCTATCAAACTCACCAGTCCTATAGAAGTGTTTTCTAATGAGAACTACTTACATGAACCCTAAAACATAATTCAGAAGAACAATTATAAATTCTATCAAAATATTCAAGTAATTTAAAGAATTAAATTTAAATTCAAGTAATTTAAAGAATGAGCAAATACTTCATTGACCTCTAAGAGGATCACAATAAAGACCTGAGTGGTGTCTAAGAAAACAAAAATACAGGTCTAAATGATGAAATGATAAAGATAATTTAGAATTTGAAAACAGAATTCAATAAAGAGATAGAAATATTGAAGTGAACACAAGGCAATGAAGACGAATGGGAAAAACTCAATATTCTAATTAGAAAACTCAGGGGAAAGCCTTAAAAGTAGAAAGAATCAAGCAGAAGACAGAATGTCAAAATGCAAAGATAAAGTAGATGACCTAGGTCAAAGAAGCAAAGAATATATATATATATAATTTTAAATGTACAGGAAAAGAACATGCAAGAAACGATACCATGAAAAGACTACATTTCTTCAGTTATAAGACAGAGAAACAGCCTGGGTTAATGGTATAGACCAGATCATCAACAAGACCATAAAAGAAAACATCCCCAAACTAAGGAAATACATACCCATACAGATACAAGAAGCACATAGAATAACAAATAGATAAGATCAGAAAAGAAACAATCCATAGCATATCATAGTTACAAAAAAATACTAAATATACAGAACCAAAAAAAAGATGAAAGTTAAACAACCAAAAAAAAAAAAAAAGTCACATATAAATGATAAAAAAAAAAAAAATCAAATCAGAGTAACAACTGATTTCTCAATAGGAATTCTGAAAGCCTGCTGGAGCAATGCACTCCAAGTTCTAAAAGACTATAGCTATCAACCCAGACTACTATAAGGAACAAAAGTATTTGCCACAGTTGAAGAAAAGGATAACTTTCCATGGTCTAAACAGTCTAATAATATTCATAACCAACTACAACAATAGAAACATTAAGCAGAATACTGGAAGCAATACTTTGAGTGGAAGAAAGAATAAACACAACCGAGAGACTCTAGAAAGAAAATGAAGCTGTAATGAAATTAAAAATACAACTAAGAACACAAACCAGCAAACAACAACAAAAATGATTGCAATCTACACAATCCTTTCAATAATAACTATATATCAATCACTTCAATTCTCTAATCAAGATATGGGATAACTGAATGGAATAAGAAACAAAATCCATCTTTATTTTTTACAAGAAACTCATCTTAGATTGAGAAATAAGTACCACCTTAAAAAAAGATAGAAAGAAAAGTATGTCAGGCAAACAAGAGTGGAAAGCAAGCAGTTCCTGCCATATTAGCATGTGACAAAACATACTTCAAACTAACTAATTAGAAAAGACAAAGAAGGGTACTTCATTCTAATCAAGATACCAATTAATCAAGAAAAAAATACAATAGTAAACATATATGCACCAAACTCCTGTGGGGTGAGCCAGCCTGAGGGCAGGTGCAAGCGTGAGAGAGCTGGCTCTAGAAGTCCAGAAAGCTGTCCACAGGGTCATAAGCATGAGAGAGCTAGCCCTGCACCTCACCTGGACAGCACAGCAGATCTGACCCTGGTTGTGGGGGCATAGGTGAGCCAGCCCTGAGAACATGAGAGAGCTGGGCCTACCACCCATCTGCAGTAAGGTGGTATGGTTGTGGAGAGATACCACCCCACCCCCAACCCCTGGCTCCTCAACCCCCACTACCTGTGGAAGCTGGGAGAGCTGGCCCCAGGGTCATGAGAGTGGGTGAGCTGCTCCTGCCCCTCACTTGCTGTAGCACTTGGAGAGCGGGAGGGAGGGGGTCCTATACCTTGTCTGAGCAGCACAGTAGAGCTGGCTCTGGTGGCAGGGGGTGGGTGAGCCAGTGCCAATGGTGTGAGGGAGGAAGAGCTGGCCCTGCCATTCCTCTGCTGTGATGTGGTCCGGGCAGGGGAAGATGCCTTTTACCCCTGTACCTTGTTACCTGCAGCAGTCTGGACGGCTGACCCTGGGGTCATGAGAGCAGGTAAACTGTCCCTGCCTTTAACCGGCTGCAGCACGCAGGACAGCAGACCCCGCGCCTCACCCAGGAAGCACAGTAGAGCTGGCCCTGGTTGAGGAGTCACAGGTGAGCCAGCCCTGAGGGAGAGCAAGGGACTGCTGGACCACTCCTCTACTAATGAGGTGTCATGGGTGGGATGGTGATGCCCCCCTCCCCCACTGTATTCAGGTCAAGGGCATGAGATCAGGAGAGTTACTATGTCCTTGCCTGGGCAACACAGTGGAGCTGGCCCTGATGTCAAAGGCACTGGTGAGCCAACCCCGAGAGTGTGAGAGCTGAAGAGCTGGCCCAGACCCTCCGAGGCTGAAGCACTTGGAAAAGTAGGGATGGGCATCACGGTGGAGCTACTCTGGAAGCATGGAGGCACATTTGAATTGGTCCCAAGGGCATGAGAGCAGGAGAGGTGACTTTGCCTCCTGCTGATGGTGGTATTGTAGGAAAGAGCTGGAGAGCTAGCCCTGGTGCTATGGATAAGGGAGAGCCAGCAGGTTGACCAGCTCGGCTACCACCTTCATCTCAATCAAGAGCTCTGAGTTGGCTCACCCCAAAATCTGTGTCTGCAAATGACTGGGATGCATGAAAGGGCCAGTTCCGCTGATCCAAACCTGTAGGATCTTCATGACCCAGGGCAACAATAGGATAAATGGGAGGAGGGCAAGTGAGCATGCAATACTGATGGTGTCACAGAAGCCAGAGACCTCAAAGCAGATCAAAAAGACTCATTGGAATAAACATTTGCAAGTAAAGATGTGTCAACAAGAGGATACACTATAGGTCACACTACAGCTTCTGTGATGAGATGTTTTTCTATGCTTTGTTTGTTTGTTTGCATGTGTGTGTTTTATTTTGAGGGGGAGGTTACACGAGCCCAGAGATGAGGGGATGAGTAGGACGGGGTACATGCTGTGAAACTCATAAAGGAAAATCTAGAAGAAATGGGTATTTTTCCAAGCTACCAAACTTAAACTAAGGAGAGATTATAAAGCCTAAATATACCTGTAACAAAGCAGGAGACAGAAATTCTCCTTTTAACTAAGAAAACAGAAAACTTTTCTTAGTTTTCTTCGACTGGCAAAAGCACATGCCAAGACAGATTCATAGCAGAATTCTACCAGAGTTTCAAAAAACTGCAACCAAATTTCCTGTTATTCAAAAGAGTAGAAATAGGAGAAAAACTTCCAAATTTGTTCTATGAAGCCTGTATTACTAGACTGACCAAACCAGGTAAAAATACAACAATGAAACTAAACCAAACAAATGACAGGCCAATATACCTGATGAATGCAGATGCAAGCATTCTCAATAAAATACTCTTAAAGTTGGTATAGGAAATGCCCCGGAGTAGCTGGCCTATTCAAAAGAGAGTCTATGCTTGTCTTTTGTGAGCTTCTTATTTCATTTTTGTTGTTGTTATTTTCTGGTCTTAGTAGTTTTTTGTTTGTTTTGATTTATTGTTTGTTGGTTTGTTTTAAAAGAGATAAAATGAAGTTGGGAGGGTAGGAAAGTGAGGAGTTGGGAGAGAGGAAATAATATGATCAAAATTTTAAAAAATTGTTTTGAAAGATAACAGTTTATTGAATTCATTTTTAATTATAGCTGAAACCACAGATCACATCTATGTACTATTTGGGGAGGTGAAAGAATATGATCAAAATATACTGTATGAAAATAAACCTTAAGTAAAAAGCAAAGATCATTTACCAAGATCAA